TACCCAACCGTTTCGGGAGTTCACCCTGCCCGGGAGTTCACCCTGCCCGGGAGTTTCCTCTACCCAGAAGTCTCGCCACAAAGTGTCTCCCTGGAGTGTTTCTTCCAGAGTCTCTCTGGTTCCATCATCTAAGTTCCATCCAGCAACTTGGCGCTCAGAACCTTCCTCACGAAGGACCTTCCTCACGAAATGTCATTTTATTCAGCCGTCTGGAGATCGAGGGAGGGCCTGGATGGAACCTCCAATATGGCTGAAGGATTTGCGAGAGAGCCTTGGGAAAGAAAACGACCCTGACGTAGAACAAGTCCTGGAATGTTTGGACGCCTGGCAAAATCTAGACTATGACTATCGGGATTTTAAGATATGACTGGGGAGGAGTTGACTGGAAAGGAGTTGACTGGGAGGGGGGGGAATCGAGCCTCCGACTGTTGAATTTTGGAAAAAAGAATGGACCCGGTATTTGATGTACTAAGTACCGCATTGCTGCCGATAGTGCCCCCGGCCATACCGGCAGCCTCAGACGTGACCGAATTTCGTCGCCGTTTTATCTGTCCGGAGCACGTGGCAGAGAAGTATTTGGTTGAGGCTGCGGTGTTAGCTCGTGGTGGTATGGAGGTTCAAGGTAAGTGTAATATTATTGTTGGGTTTGTAACTAACTGGGTTTGTGCTGCTTAGGTTCGTTGTTGGATGTAGCCAGTAGGATTTTTATTGAACGGGCGGCCCAGCGTTTATGAATTATGGCCCATGTATGGAGAACAATGTGTCCGAGTTCGACCGCTGAAACAAATTACCCCGAGCCGAAGACTAATTCGACCTGCCGCCAGCAATGCCTGTATACTTGCATTTCCACTACCGAGCTACCAAGTCTGGACGACCTTTTTCCCTTCGACCGATTTAAGGATCTGAGGGATACAAACCCCCCTTTGAGGGATACAAACCCCCCTTTGAGGGATACAAACCCCCCTGAACATTTCACTCACACAACTTCCACACACAATTCGAAAGAAAAAACGCCATTCGCTGCCAATGGCTTTGACTATAAGGACATTGCTATGTGCGCAAGCAATCCTGCAATGTTCGGTTGTCAACTTACTATTCAGCAAAATGACTATGTCGCTGCCTATTATACACTAAAGCAGGCCGATACATTATCTATTCAACTCGAAATTAACATCGACCCGGCTGATACAGATCTGGAGTGGACCAGGATCGATAACCTGCAAATCAGTGTCTCCTTAAATGCACCCGCTGCCTGCTTTGATCAACCCGTCAACGTGTAAGCTCGTCCACCACCTCCGCATGCGACCACCTCGCCGTCTTCAGACTTGTCCTGCAGGAACGTAGTAGTCGAGTGGAAAAGTGGCACGCTGGCCTATGCACTAACCCTTCAAAATCCATTCGATCAATACGGAAACCTGCTAATGACCGTAATGTCAACCATGCTGAACAACCACGACGACAGCGGACGTCTCCTTGAGACCGCTGCGAAGACGCTTGCCACCCATAATGCCACATCACCCACGGGCTTGGCTGAAAAAAACCGTGATCGGAACGACCACCGAAACCAACCTCGACGCCACCACCGAAACGGTCGTCGAGGCGACCAAGACGATCACCACGGCAACAGGCACCATGACTCCGACGACGATGATCCTCACGACGATGATCCTCACGACGATGATCCTCACGACGATGATCCTCACGACGATGATCCTCACGACAATGATCCTCACGACAATGATCCTCACGACGATGATCCTCACGACGATGATCCTCACGACGATGATCCCGTGCAAGAAGCCGAATCCTGGCAACAAGACGATTCTTGGCTGGGGGAGGCCAAGGTGCATGATTCGGAGGGCTCACAGCTGGATTTGTTGCAGTCTATTCGTATCCAGGCATTGTTGCCCGGAGAGTGTTTGGGATCCGGAACTCCTCTGGGCACGACATGGGCGGTGACGTACATGCGGTTAAATTATACGGCGGACAAGGACTGTCGGGCTCTGACTAGCTGCACAGACTGCTTGAACTCCGGTTGTGATTGGTGCAGTTGGCCGGCCAGCGAGGAAGCACTGCCCAATTGGGTGCCCGACTACGAATGGACGCAAGAGGCGTTCAGGATCGGAGATGGTCGCTGCGGGATCCATCCACGTATATGCAGAAAGACCTTCGGTACTATTAACACCTGCCAGACCACCCAGGCCGAACCACTCCAACTTGTCTGGCCTATCATCAGCGTCATGGTCCCTTTCATGGTCCTTTGGCTGCTCCATTGCAAACGCTAAAACCTTACAGGCCCCAATCCGGCCCTAGAGGCCATTCCGGCCCTAGAGCCCATTCCGGCCTTACAGGCCCGCCCACTGGTCGCACCCACAAAAGAAGGAGCACGCACCATGGGCATCCTAAACGATGCTAAGGACGCGGTCACGTCCACTGCCGCCAAGGCTGCTTCGCGTCTCGCCGCCTCCGAAGCGCCGCGCATCCTCAAAGACCTTGACAACCTCGTCGAAAGCACCGCAGAACAGGTCGCCAACCTCGAGGCTGCGACCATCCAAAACACGGAACGCATCCTCGCTGACGCCTTCTCCAAGGAGGCCCTCGCCAAGGCTCTGCCGGAAATACAACCCTTCATCCCCAAAGGGCAGGCGGCCGTGGCTACCAGCGACCAAGTCGCTCCCAGCGGAGCAGCTGGTGCCGGCGCAAAAGCGAAGGACGCCGCGGGTGGGTCGGTGCCGACCTCATCTGCAGGCAGCCCCTCTCTTTCTCCGAACGAAACACGAGCTGATCGCCCCGGCCGGCCCGCGACCTCGCGCAAATCGTCTCGCAGGCAGTCGCGGAGGCCGTCAAGGCGCAAGCCGTACACACTGGTGAACCACGCTGCGAGAGGGCCAACAGGGCAGGCCACGGCAGCGGACTACGTGTCGAGGAGCAGCGTCCCTCAAACTGGTGCTTTTGGACACGGTAATGCTCAAGTCGGTGCTGCTCAAGCCGGTGCTACTGAAGCCGGTGCTGTTGAAGTTAATGCTGTTGAAGTCAGTGTCGCGTTACCCTCTGGAACAGGCACCAGCCCGATGGGTTCGGCGAGCCCGAAGGCAGGTGCAGTGCATCCTGGCGGGATTGCGGTGGTGAATTCGACGCCTTCGTCTACGTTTAAGTCCGCTTGCGAGAGCCCAGGTTCGAGTCCAGAGTCGCCCATTCTACACGCGATCCTGACGCCGGCTCCCTGGGCCGGGGAGAGTCCAGTGGGGGAGAGTCCTGCGAGGGACAGTCCCGTGGGGGAGACGTGCTTGGGGCAGAGTCCCGTAGGGAGTCCCGTGGGGGAGACTGGCTTGGGGCAGAGTCCCGTGGGGAATACCATGGGCCCGAGTCCATTCGGGAATCCCCCGGGGCCGAGTCCCGGAGGGCTGAATCGCGTGGGGCAGAGTCCCGTGGGGTCGAGGCCCGTGGGCCAGCCTCGGACGCGGGGTAGTCTGTGGGACGCCCTGAACGTAGGCTCAGACACCAGTCGCACTGAGACCGACCTGGGTGCCGGAGCAGCCCCGGCCCAGGA